AGAGAAAATAAAAAATCAATATATATATAATAAAAGACTAATGAATGATATTTTATATATACACGTTATTTTATATATTTATATATTATATGTAATCATGAATTAAAATATTTATTTATATAAGAGTATATATTTTTATATACTATAGATAGCATATAGTCGTATATATATAATTATATATATTTATATTATATATATTATATATAATATATATATATATATATTATATATATATTTGTATACCACACACGCACACGCCACATGCACACGCACACACACACACACACGCACACACGCAAACACGCACACACACACACACCACACACACACACACACACACACAACACACAACACACACACCACACACACACACACACACACACACACACATATGTATATGTGTGTGTGTGTGTATCCATATTTATACATACGTACAAGCTAAACACCCCTTACGTAATATCTGAGGTTTTATCATTTCTAAATTCTACATATACAATATTATTCTTTTTATGTACTATTTTTATCATACACATTCCATACGTGTGCTCACATACATGGATGTATTTGTAAATGTATGAGCAATATATTGGCCTTTATCTATGCAAAATGTATACGTGTACGAATCAGAGTATAAATGTATTTGTATATGTGTCTATGTTGTATGTTTGTATCCATGTATGTAGTGAAATAGGTAGGTAGGTATCTATGTATTTAGGGATGTTTGTATTCTGTAGGCATGCAATACACACACACACACACACACACACACACACACACACACACACACACACACACACACACACACACACACACACACACACCACACACACACACACACACACACACACAACGCACGCACGCACGCACACACATACACACAGATATATATGAATAGATATATATGTATATATATATATTATATATATATATATATATATATATATATATGTTTATATATATATATATATATATATATATATATATATATATATATATATTATATATCTGTGTGTGTGTGTGTGTATTTATGTATGTTCGTTCCTCTGTGTGTGTGTGGGTGGGAGGGGGGCAGTCTGCGTGTGTATGTATGTACTTTCGTTCGTGCGTGTGTGTACGTGTGCATGTGCGTGTGCGTGTACGTGTATGTGCACATCCAGAGAGATCCGTCACCCTGAAAGTATGAGTTGCTTAAGTATGCGTTGGGGTATGTGGCACTGAGGCTAAACACAAGCCGCTATGTTGTTCTCAAACATTCTTAAGAGTCTTTGTTCTTCTTAAGTCTTTTAGTCTTAGTAATGTCTTCGTGTATAGTCTTGATAGTCAGGCTATACTCCTTCTCGTAGTCTTTGAAGAATAGTCTTGGGTGATAGTTTCAGTATATATTCTTAGTGTTTATAATTTAAAATAATTGTTGTTGAATAAGAATATAGGTTTATGGTCCTATATGATTATTGTTTAAAGAAGAAATACGTGTTTTAATTGTATTCTATAAGTAATGATTATCAATTATGTTTTTTTTTTATTATTTTTTTCTAATTATGGTTTTGTGTATGTCTTTATTGATATTATTAATCATATATAAGATAATATAATTGACAATATAAGATATTGTCAATCATTTATCATTTTTTTAATTATGGTTTTTGTGTCTTTATTGATATCATTAATCATATATCAATAGATAGTGTAAACATATTTGCAACATGGAGTGGTCTTGCAGTTCAGTGGGGTGTACGAAACCTTGCCCTCCACCCCCTCCCCCTACCCTGCTTCTCCCCCCGCCCCCTGCTTCTCTCCCCACCATGCTTCTCCCCCCCCCTGCTTTCTTTCTCTCCCCCCCCCTTGCTTCTCTCCCCCCCCCTGCTCCCCCCTGCTCTCTTCACCTCCCCTGCCTCTGCTTCTCTTCCTCCCCTGTTCTCTCCCTGCTTCTCTTCCCCCCCCTGCTATCTCCCCCCCTCCCGCTTCTCCCCCACCCCCTTCTCTTACCCCGCTGTTCTCTCCCCTCCTCTCTCCCCCCCCTTCCTTCCCCCTGCTTCTCTCCGCCTCCGCTGCTTCTCTCCGCACTCCCTCCCCTGCTTCTCCCCCCCCCTGCTTTCTCTCCCCTCCGCTTCTCTCCCCCCTGCCTGCTTCTCTCCCCCCTGCTTCTCTCCCCCCTGCTTCTCTCCTGTTTTTCTCCCCCTCCTGCTTCTCTCCTCCCCACCCTGCTTCTCTCCGCCCCCCACTTGTTTTCTCCCCCCTCCCCGCTTCTCCCCCCCCTGCTTCTCTCCCCCCCTGCTTCTCTCGCCCCTCCTGCTTCTCTCCCCCCTGCTTCTCCCCCCCTGCTTCTCTCCCCCTGCTTCTCTCCCCCCTGCTTCTCTCCCCCCCTGCTTCTCCCCCCCTGCGCTTCTCTCCCCCCCCTGCTTCTCTCCCCACCCTGCTTCTCTCCCCCCTGCTTCTTCCTCCCCCCCCTGCTTCTCTCCTTCCCTCCCTCAATTCCTCTCACTCATTTCTTCTCCTCTCGCTTCTCTTTTTCCTCACCCTTCCTCTCTATTCTTTCTCTATCCATTTTCTTCATTTTCTTTCGTTTGCTTCTCTTCTCTTCTCTTTCCCTTCCCTTTTTATTCTCCTCTTCCTCCCTCTCCTATCCCTTTCCCTTCCCTTTTTTCTTCTTTTCTTTTCCCCCTCCCTCCCTCTATCCACGTCCCCTCCTTCCCTGCAACCCCTCCCCTTCCGCTGCTCCCCCTCCCTCTCCATCTCCTGCTCCCCTCCTCTCCATCCCCGCTCCCCTTCCCTCCCTCCATCCCTGCTCCCGCCTCCCTCCATCCCTGCAACCCCCTCCATCCGTCCCCTCCTACCCTTCCCCTCCATCTTAATCTTACCTCCCCCACACCATCCCCTCCCACCCCCCCCCCGGCCTTGCGTGTGTGTCCGTGTCTCTCGCCCCAACGCTCCGCTAACTTGCTGAGAATCTAGAAAAGTCTTTTCCCTTTCTTCCCTCTCTCCCCCTTTTCCTTCCCCCCCAATTCACTCTCTTTCTCTCTCCCTTTTCCTTTCCAACTCCTCTATTTTCCTATTTTCCCTTTCTTCTCCAAATCCCTCTATTTTCCTATTTCCCCTTTCCTTCTCCTAACTCTCTTTCTTTCCCTTCCCTTCCTCAAATTCTTTCCCTCTCCCTTTCCCTTCTTCAAACTTCCTCCCTTTCCCTTCCTTTCCCTTTCATCTCTAACTCCCTTTTCTTTCCCTCTCTTTTCCTTCCTTCTTCAAACCCTCTCTTTCCCTTTCATTTTCCTTTCCCTTCTTCCAACCGTCTGTCTTTCCCTCTTCTTTTCCTTCCTTCTTCCAACGCCTCTCTTTTTCCGCTTTCGCTCTCCCAACTGTCTCTCTTCCTCTCCTTCCTCCAATTCCCTCTCTTTCTTCCTTCCAACTATTCCTTTTCTTATACCTTTCCTTCCCTTTCTTTCCTATACTCATTCTTTTTCCCTCCTTAATCTCCTCCCTTTCCTTTCTTTCTCAACTTCCATTCCCTTCCTTTTTTCCTTCTTTTTTATATAACTAATCGTGAAGTATTTTTATTATCGTGGTCATGGCAAGTGCACCTGATCTCTCTCCCTTTCTTCACCAAAATAAATTATCTATTTTTCTTCATTGTGTCCCACTTTATTATCTTTCTTTAACGTATTACTGAATCAAAATTGAAATCTGCTAAATTCTGTGAGATTATTTCTGTAGGTATTCTTATCTATATTTTTTTTTTGCTTCTGATTATTCTGTTTATTTCTCTCTCATTTGCTCTCTCTGTCTCTGTCTCTCTCCTCTCTTCTCTCTGTCTCTCTCTCTCTCTCTTCTCTCTCTTCTCTCTTCATCTCTCTCCAACACACAGCACACACACATCACAGCCACACACACATGAATAAACCCACACAACACACACACCA